GCTTTATTCCAAGACAGACTGGCCAACTGACGGTCGGTCGTAACATAAATTTGACTTCGATTCAAGAGATTCAGTCATTAGGGAATTCAGAAAGCTGCTCAATAGATGAAGTGTTAACCAGCTAAGATTCGTTACCAAGCAACGACTAAGCAAGTAAACGTCGAAAACTTTATGTGCTGTAGTTACAGTAATATTAGAGTGTTATAATTATTTGCCGTTACGACTTGTGAGTATTCAATAAATCTATTCACCAATGCAAACCCCGTCTACATGTGACTAATAAACGTGACAATATAGAATGCCAAAATTTGTATTATACAGATATTACACAAAGGCGGATCAATTAGGTTATATAACGTCAAAGGAGACATGAACATAACCAAGAATTATGGGTAGGTAAGGATTTGGAAAGAGGCAGAAATGGCTTATATGAAGGCGGGGGAATCATTAGGAATTCTCCTGAAGAGACAGAAAAACCAAGATAAACCTCAGTTACAGGAGTCGGCAACTGCCTGAAATTCCCGAATGTAAAATTCAGAGTTACTGCTGCATTAAATCTCGCCAGAATACTTGGTTCAAGACCCGATTTTCCATGGCATTCTGTAGGCCTGTACAAAGCTATGTGCCAAAGAGCATATTTAGGTATAACGATCACTCCTCCTGTGACAGACATGCCATAATTATCGTTGTTTTTGCTCATGTTTACAAATATTACTGATGTTAAATAAATCGGTAGCTGATCAAGTGTTCTGAAATGACTTACAATACTTCGAATCGTCTGCCAGTAGACTATATCCAGCATTCGTTTCGGAGAGCAGAGCCACGACGCCCACGACCCGCTACAACCAAAGCACGTCACCAAGTTGACCATGTTTACGTATTAGGCTAGCATCTAGCAGCTCTAGCAGTGCGGAGAGGACCAGCAGAGAAACGTGACGTCATTCCGTGACCCACCATGTCACTCTCAAGCACTCATCTATCTGCAGTTAGTATTTGAGGTCGTTACAATCGATACAGACTCAGATGCGAGTCGAAATTTAAAGCAAAATTTCCGTCTAAAGGGAATGTATTTCTGCGTCGAAGTCCCAATTATTTCTCGCTCGTGTTGGTTATTTAACGACGCTGTCAATATCCAAATCATATAGCTTCGGCCGTACCCGCAGCAATATTTTGGAAAAACAATGGGAGTTCTGAAAAAACATAAATACCGATACATATTCAAAATCTAGATCATGACCGTCACTCAACTAAAACATTATTCACATCGACAGGAAATAACATCAAAGACATTCCTAATTTAATGCTTTCGATATCGATGTCTTCGTATCTAATTCAGTCATTGACAGAAAAACGTTGTACATACGAGTACAAAATTAACAGAGAGAGATTTTCATAAAAAAGGTAAAACTACCCCTGCAAAAGGCAGTGTAGTTCCATAGGGTTGTGAGACGTCGAGGCTCCCACTTTTTCTAGACAATCGGCTCACAGATGGTGGTGAGGTTGTCAGCCTTACGCATCGGCCGCCCTTTACCCACCAGAAAGATTGCTGATACTCATTTCTGTTAGAGGCGGAGTCGACGACAGGGTTATAGTGCGGCTGGAAGGATTAGGTCAATTGAAAAATCCAGTGACATCATCGGGAATCGAACC